ATCTTCAGCCTTACCTGGCATCATCATTGTTATTATCACCATCATCATTGCCATTTTAGAACTGCAGAGTTGGAAGGTGTGGCTTATGGAACAGGATTTTATCCATAAACTCAGGCTTGAGGAAGTGGACACAAGCCACAAAAGCTCATATTAAAATATAGCAGTTAAGTCTTTTAAGATGCCACAATATTTTTGTCTTCTTTATTTTTTATTTTGTTTTTGACTTGAAATCCATTAACTAGTTTCCTTTTCTAGCTCAATTTGTGTTTTTTTTTTCAACCCAATCATTGTTATTTTATCATTGGTAGACACCTTACATAGCTGAAGTAGATTATGTGTGGCTTGGTGTGTCACAACTTGTGATGTTTTGTGTAGAATGCACAGTTTAGCAGTTTGTATAGCAGAATAACCAGTTTAGGAGGTGAGAGACATTGTGCCCTAAATGGAAAATCATGGAAATCTAAGACATCTTTTGTTAATCTAACATTTTTAAAGGCTTCTACCAAATGGCATTATATCCATTTGCTTTGAACTATCAGGTTGGAAGCTGTTCTGTGTCTATGCACCATACTTCCTTCCCACAACCCAGGGAAGTTTTATTGTCTCATTCCAATACTTTTCAGATTTTCTACCCAAATTCCTTAAGCTCTCTCTTCAGTGGTATAAGAATCAGTGTTGTAGAGCAGACTTTTATTGACACACGACCAAGTCCCCGAGGAGAGTGTAAAATAAGAAATGCAGAGTGCTTCACTGAGCCACATCCACAAACTATTTCTAGCATTTTCCACCTCTGCCAGGATCATGTCTTTTGTGAAGCGAAGAGGTCTCAGGATCAAGCCAGCCCATATATTTTGCCTAAAAGGAAAAAAAAACTGACATTGACATTGGGTGGCTTTGGGCCAGTCATATATATATGCCACTGATTCTTATACCACTGAAGAGAGAGGGTCAGTCATATGTCAGCTTTTTTGCTTATATATATTTTGCTTATATATATGCATGCACATACGCATGCACACACACACAGAAAAGCTGACATATATATAAGCAAAATGTATATAAGCAAAAAAGCTGACATATACATGTATGTATACAATTTAGATTTTATAGATATATATATGTCAGCTTTTGTGTGTATGTGTGTGTGCATGCGTGTGCGTGCGCGCACACACACAGTAAATATATATGATTTTGTAATTTAATTTAGTGATCTTGTGTTTGTTTGTTTGTCACATTTACCATATACTGTATTCCACTTTGCCTCCAGTGAGCTCAAGGCAGCATACATGGCGCTCCTCCTCCTCACAATATCCTACTCGTTGAGGCAGAGAGAAGGTGACCGGCCCAAAGCCACCCAATGACTCCTCTAGCCAAGTAGTGATTTGAAACCAGTTCTATGTGCGTGTGTAAAATGCTGACCACTACACAGGTGGTTCCCAGACTGTTGCCCCAGCACCCTGAGGTGCTGCCAAGCCCAGTCAGAGATGCTGCGGAATCCTCTCGTCCTTTGATGAGAGGATTCTGTCAAAGGAGGAGAGGAGTCTCCCTCTCCTTGACCAGCAGGTCTCCCTGTGTGCTGGACAGGATCGTGCCTATTGCCACCTCCATGCACAGGTGCGGATCCCAGGGCAAGCTGTGCCTCTGTCCCTGGACTCTTGCTGGCACATGAGGAGAAATGGTGGTGGCAGTGGCAGCGATGCTGTTTTTGTGCTGGGAGGGCTCCAGGACCAGTCAAGGGAGTCGTGAGTAGAAACAGTTTGGGAAGCACTGCACTACGCCATACTGCTCCGGCCAATTTTACTTTTTTGGTGCTTATTTTTGTAGTATCGCTAGTCCCCTTAGGAGTTGACAGTTTAGGAGGCAACGTCGCTGAAACCAGTTGTATCGCGTCTTGCCTTTCCATTGGACTATTTCAGTGACGTGGAGAGGGGGGATTTGCTGGTTGGGTAACAGCCTATCTTCCACATTATTTTACCCAGGCTTTGTGCCCTGGAGAGGACACTCCAGCTTCGTGTACAGCGTAAAACCACTAGACGCTGTTC